TTCGATCAATATTCAATTATCACTATTTCTCAACTAGTCTTTGGATACCAAATACCATGTCAGTTTTATGTCATTTAGTTAGGTCCAGACCCTATTTTCATTCACTTTCATTCATTTATTATCCATCCGATAATATAAATAGTTCATTCAGTTAGGTAAGCGAATAGTTTGATTTATGGACCTCCTTCATATCCCTTTTCCAGGATTATTTGAGATTGAGAGTGAAGTTAACGTAATTCATTGTTTCAAATAATAATTATTAAAGAGTGTCTCAAAGTAGAGTAATATACTTAAAGAGTATGCAAGCACAGATATTCCACTAGTGCGATGCATATGCACGTGGATGTGTCACAAGTTGCTAGCTGGGACTTCAGATATAAAAGGTAAGTTGATTATGATATATTGTGAATGATTATGTGGCATTTCAATACGATTTATTAAAGAACCTACTTGCCGACCTGTCTCGCTCGGCAAGAAATACTTTTTGTTGCAAATTAGAATTAAATTGAATGAGGTGGTTTTAAGACAGGTTAATAAATTAGTGATCAAGATAGGTTAATTGCTTCTCAGAGACCACCTCGTTCACAAGAGGGAGATTTTGGGGGTGGCTTCCTTACGAGCGCAGGGTTATTTTATCGGTTTATTCGGGCACCATCAGACAACCCATGGTTATTGGAGTTGATTTGATTGCACGTCGTTGAGCTGGTTTTGAGGTCTGCATTGTCTGAATCCGTTCATAACGCTCGTGCTTTGATTTTGCAGACTCATATCGCCTGATACGTTTCGTGTTCCCTAACTGATTTGTACAACCAGGTGATCATAAAGCATCATTTCACTTTCAACCACGGCAGTCACTCCACTTTTGCATCCGGTGATTACTTTTGCCTCCGTATCTCATTTCACTTCTGCATCCTGCGATGAACTGAGTTTTATCTCCGGCAATCATTTTTCTTCTCCATCCGGTGGTTACATTTACCCCCGACATTCAGTTCACTTTTGAAGCCGGTGATTACTTCACTTGTGCGTCCGGTATTAACTTCACCTTCAACTCCGGCATTGATTTCTTTCTTGCATTCGCTGATCATTTCATAATAATAATAATAAATCGTCTTTATTCATCACAACAAGTTACAAGAATATCATATATAGTATAACATATTAGTGATGAGAAGGTGAAGTGTCAGCGAGTGCTGTTTTTAAACTTTACCAAGAAATTGAAAATACAAAAACAAAATATAGTTCTTACATAACTCATTCATTATGCCTAAGGGTGAAGCCAAGACAAATATAATTTATTCAAATTTAAATTGTGAAACTTCACTTGATAAAGATTTAACAATGTGTCGTAAACTCTGAGAGACAAACAAAAGTAGGTAGGTGAGAGAAAGTGATAATATATATAATATAATATAATAATAACACCGTGCGAAGTACAATCGGAAATCAAAAATCATCATATGTTCAGCAATCCCGGAAACAAACGCGCAAATAAAATTTCAGTGATTGTCGGACCAATGATTGAAGTAAGCCTCTTTCAGTTTTTTTTTTAAGTTGGTCAAGGTATAATGGCGGAAACTAGCATCTGAATTATTATATAATTTACAGGCACAATACGAGAAGCTACGTGTGAAGTATGCCGTGGAATGCTTGGGTATTAAGAAAAGGTCTCTTTTCCTGGTAGTAACTCTATTACTTTCCATTAGTTCTAGTTTTTGAGCCAGATAAGGGGGGGTTTTCGTTTTTAATATTTTGTGTATTAAGCAAAGAGAGTGCAAGTCGCGGCTTTTGTTGAGTGGGAGCCAACCAATTTCTTGGGTTTGTCTACTAACCCTATCAAATCTTCTTAAACCTGTGCAGAAGCGTACGCAAGTGTTCTGTATCAGTTGGAGTTTTCTTACGTCAGAAGCAAGTAAGGCGGGACCATAGACCGAATCGCAATTCGCTAATTCAGAGAATATTAGAGATTCACATAGTTTGATTTCAATTTGTTTCGGAAGAATGTCTCGTTGAGAGTAGAGTTTCTTAAGGGTATCATAGGAGCTTTGGCATAAAGAACGAATGTGTTTGCTAAACCTCAGATCGGAGTCGAACCACACACCAAGGATTTGGCATTCGTTTAGAGCTGGGATTTTTTCGTTGTTCACCACAATATCCATCATTTGAGATGCTATTGTTCTCTCACTTTTGGAACCAAAGAATGTTACAGAAGATTTACTGGCATTCAAGTTCAAATTATGCGCCAAAGAAATATTGAAAAGAGAATCTAAATCCGAATTCATGTTGTTGCATGCCTCCTCGTAATCATCAATGTGGAAATGATAAATGAGTTGTGTGTCATCTGCATAGTGGTATATTTTACAATGACGGGTGAATTTGTGTATGTCGGAGATGTAAATGGAAAAAAGTAGAGGTCCTGAGATAGAGCCCTGTGGTACACCATATCCTACCGGTAAAGCATTCGACGATTTATCCCCAAGGACGACACGTTGTGTGCGATTGGTAAGATAGCTGTTCAGAAGTTTAATGGATTTCTCTGAGAATCCGAAATGTAACATTTTTTTGCAAATCAAGTTGTGATCGACAGTGTCGAAAGCTTCACTGTAATCTAATAGAATGAGACAGCAAATGTAGTTTTCATCGATATATCTGGATAAGTCATCGGAAACATTGAGAAGCGCGCTGGTAGTGCTAAATTGGGGCCGAAACCCGGACTGAATATCTGGAATGATCGTTTTAGAGAAAACGAATTCCGCCATCTGGCTCTTTATTATGGATTCGAAGATTTTTAAGAGTGTGGGTAAAATGCTTATGGGTCGCAAGTGCTTCAATTCAGTCGGTGATGTGACTTTAGCCAAAGGTATGATACAAGCCATTTTCCAAGCGTCAGGAAAAGTATTTGTTGTTAGTGCAGTATTAATGATATGTGTGATATAGTCGAGTATGATGTCCCAGACGATATAAATCATATTGAGTGATATATAATCAGACCCTATAGAATTACTTTTGAGGGTTTTGAAGGCATGTTCCACTTCTCGTGAATGAATTGTATGGAATTTGAAAGAACGGATTTGAGTGGTAGGGAGATCATAGATGTCAAATAAGTTGAGTTGAGCAGGAGTGGGGTGGGATGACGGAACGTTATTAAAGTAATTATTGATCAATGTTACGTCAATAAGGTGGCCAGGTAATTCAGAAATTCGATTACTCTGAATTACATCTAAGGCTCTAAGAGTATTCCAGATAGTTTTGGAATTATTTGTACGTAGTGTGTTTTGCATATAACTACGTTTTTCCCTTCTAATGGCACTAGTGACGTAGTTACGCAGTTCTTTATAATAGTTCCAACTATGGTAAGTTTTCGTGCTTTGTCCCGAGTTCGTATCATGAGTTTGATGTTGTATGTATACCATGGGCTGAAAGGTTTAGTGACCTTCACTTTGCGGATGGGAGCATGTTTCTCGAAAATATTGAGCAAATTGGTATTCAGGTAATTTACTTGTTCATTGACATTGTTGAAATTATACTTGCGATCCCATTGACAAGCCTTAATTTCATTAAGGAAACAATCCTGATTGAAGTGATTAAAGTCGCGAGTCGAGATGATCTTTTCCCTTGTTGGTGGACTTAATTTTCCCTATTTCGCATGACGTAGTGAAATGATCTGAGATTCCCGGTAAGTCATGAACTGAGCATCTAGTAATGTCCTCAGGGTTTGATGCAACCATAATGTCAATCAAAGTTTGAGAATTATCCGTGACACGTGTAGGCTCATTGATCAGCTGTGTCAAGCTATAAGTATCTAAGTATTGTAAAAACAAGTTACTGGACTGACACTGGACTAATAAATTGATATTCACATCAGCGGCCATGAGAAGGAAATCACAGTTAGTCGAGATAAGTGACATACTGTCATCTAGTTCGGAAAGGAAGACTGTGATATTTGACTTGGGTGGACGATACAGGACACTTATCGCCCAAGTACTCCCAAGTAATTTCACATTGATCCACAATTGCTCCAAATTATTCCTAATATTTTCGACCAGAACATTGTACAAGCGGTTACATTTTATGAAAAGACCGAGACCACCTCCTCGTCCATCTCGATCAATTCTTTCAAATTTATAGCCAGGAATAAATAATAAATCTGAGTTTATGTTGGGATTGAGCCAAGTTCCAGAAACTGCGAATACTTCAAAAGAATTACTGAGTATGTGATTTTTCAAAATATCGAACCCTCCTACTATGGAACGTACGTTCATGTGGCCGAAGCAGAAAGCTTTGTTCTGGGGCATTATTATGAATCAGAGAGAATAAAATAAAGGTCAAGATAATGATACGGATGATGATACGAAAATAGTTAACGGATACCGAGTGAATTCAATATGCAATCAATACTAAAATCTAATTATAGAAGACAGAGTGTTTACGAATAGATATAAAAATCCAAAAAAAAGAAGAAAAATGTAGTAATAATAATAAAGCAAATATAGAAGTAGACTACGAATGTCAGGGAGGTGAGAGAATTTACTTTAGATTTTTGACAGAATTAGCAGATCTCAAAGTAATCGAAGACTTTTTTGACTTGATATTGAAGGCCTCAGGGCTGACTTCCAAGAAACTTTTCTTATTAGTATCACTCTCTTTCTGGGAGAGGGATTGAGTGGAATTATCCGCTGATCTGCTGCTAGTTGCAGCTGCTGCACTTGCTTCATTCACTTCTGTACTGGACGCAAATGTTTCTTCAAGTTCATCAGTGCTGTACGGAACACCATCTATGATGAGCCTCCGGCCTTCAATGGCAGCTGCGAGACCTTTGTTTCTCGCAATTCTTTGATGGGCAACGAGATTTTTTTTTCTTGATAGTCTTCGGGAATATAATCAAGTGAGATAAATGTACCAGTTCCCTTCAGTTTTTTAGCATTTTTTGAAATCTCAGCTTTAAGGCTATTAGTCAAACATTCCAGAAGGATCTGACCTGGTTTGCTATTGTTTGGAGAAGCTTATCTATACGCATCTCTGAAATCTCTTTCGCTGAAATTGATTTCTAGGTTATCTCGCAGTAGCGCGATGACAGAATCAATGACGTTATCGCCTCGCAAATTATATATCGTAAGATTATATTTCTTCATTCTTCTTTCTACAGTCTGAACCCTCTCTTTCAGAAGTTTATTTTCTGCCCTCAAAGCTCTATTATCTTCCTTCAGTTCTTCAATATTGGATTCAATGTGTCCTTTGTAGGTTTTGAATTCATCTTTGAACTCACCAATTTGTGCCACTAATATTACGTTTTGTGATTTGACAGCGGAAAATTGTTCCATAAGCTCTTTCAACATGTTCGCCACATCTTGTTTGGAGTAATCGCTCATTTCCACTTCTGGCAGTAGACCACCCGTACCATGTGATTAGTTGAAGATCCGCAGATGGGAGATAAGGTTTTTTGCGAGCAGGTGTATCGCGTTATCCGAATTACTTATTGCTAGGCTTTTTTACTTTTAGGTGACAAGAGTTTAATCTTTGTCCACCTTTAAACTCAAAATCTCGGATTGTGTGACCGTCGTCGATAATATATAATATCATCAGTGGATGGCAAATTCTCTTCTTGGCCAGTTGATATAGATTTGATAGTAGTACTCACAGTATGGCATCAGCAGTGAACGACCAAAGCCGGACAAAGCATACAACACACCTTCACTCCTATCACCTATCTTATTTCATGCCTCTAATAATACAAAGCTATCCAATGGATATCCATCGTACATCCACAGGCCACAAGTTTGGATATCCATTGGATATCCATACAGTGCATCCATTGGACTATAATCGAACATGAATTGTATAACTATTGTACATAAATTGTACATCTTCTGCACATGGATTGTACATATAGTGTACATAGATAGTACATATACTGTACATAAATTGTACATACACTGTACATGAAAACTGGATTACTAAAAATATCTATTTCTTCTCATATGTGTTGATTTCTAGCGACCATCTCAGATATTTTTTCATAGCTTCATGAATTTTTTTGGTCAATGAAAAAAGCTGTTGATTGTATTGATTCTGACAAAAAAAGGAAAGTTGAAGAAGTTGACAGAGTAGTGTGTTTCTAAATGGTTTGTGCTGAAAGCAATATAATTCATCCCACTAGCGTGCGGAGAAGCCCAATTTTCCACACTCATTTCAGTGTTGTTTTTCTCTCAAGTGTTTGGGGAGTATTTGATAAATAATGTTCCTTTGCGATAACTTTTGAGTTTTTTCTGCACGCTAGTAGAAAAAATAGTGTACCTAACACGACGTGCGTAAAGTGACATTTCCGCACGCGATTGCTGAAACTCCGCTGCATGCGGAAAAGCATCACTTCCCGCACTTGTTCACAATAATATACTATACAGGAAGCCTCACCACAAAAGTAGCAATAAATCACGTAGATATCTGTATGATTCCGTCATGGAAAGAATTTACATTCATTATTCATTGGTATGGATATGTCAATAATAAAAACATTCGATTTGTGATGATTAATGAGGAGCCTAAAGCCTGAAAGGCGAATGAATTTCCAGCAATCATTTAACATCCATATTACTTACAACTGCTCTGAGGTTATTCTCATCCTTCAAAAACTCATCGAAATCAACAAATTGCTCTCTTATTGCTAAAGGAAAATCAAACTTGTTGAAAAATGATTTTCATGCTGATGCTTCATCATTTATTGTGCTTTGAAGCCTGATACCATCTATTTTGTCAATCAATTTTTTCATTTGGTATAAATGTTCGTAAATCATGCTGACTATCAAATTGTCGTTTTTTATCAGTACTCTACAATTGTCCAAAACTGTTGATATGTTCTCTAATATTTCCTATGTATCTGAAACAATGTTTAGAACATAGGTAACAAAATTTGCTCATAGATATCATTCTGAACATATTATTATAATAGTTTTACATTATAATAAAATTAATGATAGCATACTAGATTATAAGTTACTTTCGGTATCTGTCAAAAGTTACATTGTTCAGAATAATCCCTTGAAATAAGAATTTGAAATGATACAAGAAGGCTATTCTCCATATATTCCGGAGCATAACTTTACATGATCAAAATAGAAAGATAAGTACTTATAATATTGCATTTTGATAAACCAAGCCTTGTTCAAATGATAAAATGTTTACAAATACGAACTGCAATTGAAGCCCAAGAATTTCGATACAATGTCAACTTTTTGAAAGACTGTGTATAAAGATAATATTTTCTGCTTCAATTGTAATTTTATATAATATAAAATAATATAATTAATATTTATTTGAATATTATATCATTTTTTGATAGCTATCAATTGATATATCAATTATTGAATACATATAGTATTTTTTTTTAACAGTTCATTTTCAATGTGTTTGAATATTTCATAATCCACTTACCATTGTGGTATACTGGGCAGCATCTACAGTCTTTGGAATTTGGATAAACTCCTAACTCAAATGACTCTCCATCAACAAACACTTCTTCAATAATAATGTCTGGATTCTCATCAGGTAGTAACGATTGTGAGGTCTGTTTAATTTGCTCAATTCTATCTGCTGAAATTCAGGGAAAAAATTATCAAAAGGGCACCAACTTCACATCTGCATGCATAATTTGATGAATTTGTATTGAGATATAACCTTTTTCAACAGTTTCTGTAGTATTGCTTTTGGCTTGCAGTATCTGAGATACATACAAATCATTTTCCCAATTATCATCTTCAGGTATCATCGATGATTGTGATTCAATCTGCTTTATACAATTCGCTGGAATTTGAAAAAAAATTTCTTGAAAAATAATGCTGAACTCATCTACATACTTCGTTTGTGAAATGTATCTCCATAGATACCTTTTTCATTATTTTCTGTTTTATTTCTTATAGGCAGCTGTGATAAATTCAAGTCTTCTAGAGAAAATTCATCTGATGAAGAATTAGTAATAGCTTTTTTTTTTCCTAATTTTTTTATTTTCACGGGACTCATCAATATCTGTTAAATCACTTTTGTATCCAGCAATTTCCGATTTTGCTAGTGCTTCACGGTAAGTTTCTGAAATAAACAATAATTAACAAAATTTGGACTTCTACTATTTTCTCCATGTCAAAGCAAAATAATTTGGCACGTTCATAAAAAATCAAATAGAGCACCAAATCATTCACAGACAGAATTGAATTGATCTTCTGAACATCATCATTATGAAACAAGAAGTGGAAATTATTTTCATATCAATTCAGTTATCAAAAAAGGTGTATAGATATAAAATTTCGGATCTATGTCATTGGTTGTTATCATATTCAACCAATTGTCTGCTGAAATAAGTAAGTAATTTGTTTGTGTTATATTTTCATCATTCAAGACTAAATTCATCTTAGGACTAATAGCTGTTTACTACTGCTATGGAGTATTCCTATCCAATTGAAGAGACTAGAGCCATGAACACTAGATAGATAGATAGATAGATAGATAGATAGATAGATAGATAGATAGATAGATAGATAGATAGATTTATTTCTCAATACAGTGAGTGCAAAAAAATAAATTTTTTTACAAATCAATGCAAGTTCCCAAGAACATTTGAGATAACGAGAGAGAAAAATAAATAATGTATACAAATCGGAGTTGATATTTGGCAATACTTCACAAATTTAGTGCAAGTATAATCTTTGACAGAAATTATCATTTATATGTACAATGAATAGATGTTTCGGTATTTGCTTTTGTAAATTTAGTGAAATATTCAATGAAATAGTTATTAATAGAAATAAACATTAATATTGAGGTTGAGAATACTATTGACAATTGTTTGAAAAAAATTCTTCTAGGTTATAATAAATGTTTGACAGTAAATATTGTTTGAGTGATTTCTTGAAGCGATTCAGTGAGTAAATTTCTGTGAGTGAGTTCGGTAGGTGATTTAAAATTTTGATACCCATATATAATGGTCCTTTTCTGTTAGCCTCATAGATGAACATTGGTTTCAAAATTAATCTGTTATTACGAGTATTATAGCTATGTATATCTGATAGTTTTTTGAAATTATGTTTTCTTTTAAATGCTTCGATTGTTACTCTGTAAATATTAAGGTTGGTGAGAGTAAATATCCTCAAGTTGACAAAGTGCCTGCGACATGAGTCTTGTCTATTTAAACCCAACATGGCCCGGACAGCTTTTTTTTGTAATATAAATGTGGAATTTGAGTTAACTGAGTTTCCCCAGAATTCAACTCCGTAGTTCAGAATACTATAAAAATATGCAAAATAAACTGTTTGGGCAGCAGCGGTGCCGATATTAATTCTAATTGTGGAAATTGCATAAACGGCGCTTGCCAGTTTATTGTTAATATAAGATATATGAGATTTCCAATTCAATTCATCATCGATGATAAAGCCCAAGAACTTTGTATGCGTCACGGGGATTATGTTACCATCAATAGTTGTAATTTGAAATGGTTCGTTGTGTTTATTCGGGAGTATGGTCATATTCAAAGTTTTTTCTAGGTTAATCATAAGCTTATTGGCTCTGAACCAGTCAACTATATTATTGAATACATTAGCTCAGTAGGTAACACATGGAAATTCAGATTTACAACTGATATGAAATAATTCAATTACATATTTTGTCTTTCTTCATTCATTTAGACATGACTAGCTATCTACAATGTTTAAAATCACACTTGCCAAAAGTTGCATTTCGAAAAACTGAAATTTTATGCATTTGTCAACATGTAGGGGGATGTTCGTAATTTCTTATTACTATTCAAATTTTTTCTGATATATATATATATATATATATATATATATATTGCCCAACTATCAAGCTAGTTGGTATAGCTTTAACTGTATATTTATCTATGAACTTCACCACAGTCCACAGTGGTTTTCAGGACTGAAAAATCTGAACAAACTCATACCTAGTGCATACCGGCGAAGAGCTGCCGCATGCATGTTACAACTATGTTTCCTAAAAAGTATAGGTCGCACAGTGCTGAGTGTAAACGAAGACAAAAAGAACTTGTTGTGAGCTCCTTGTCAATATGATTAACAAAATACCAATGCCGCTCTAGTGGTGAATGAGAGAGCAGACTCTGCTGAATCGAGACTACATCTCAGATCACTACAAAGTCCCAATATGAAACTGGAATTCATTTTTCTATATACACCCTATCTCAAGGTAGAATATTGAAATTTCTCGCATGAGTAATTTGATTGTACTCTCGAAAGGGAATTTTATGAATTCAATGTATTTTCATTACTGATAGAGCCACTTCGATTAATCAAATCCATTGAAATCATATTAAAACGAAAACATGTTAGCGTGTTTGAAGCACAGAACTCAAAGACCTAGAAGGCTAATGCAAGTGTGAGAAATCCCTGAAATCTGATACAACCAGTGTGCTTGCGGCAACGCTGAGCATGCGCACATCGTCGGCAACATTGTCAGTTATTTATTTTTATACGCATATCTCATATTTATGCATAAGGATTTAGTTCATATATCTTGTAAAACTTCTTGTAACTGATGATCGAAAGCTTCAAAAAAATCATGTGGAATATTCTTGCGACAAGATTCATAGGCTCACTGATATTAATTGAATGGCTAACAAGAAATCCACGAATTTTTATGAACTACTAATTTCATGAAAGTTCATCTGGCAACTGTGTAAGAATTTACCTCTGTCACTTTGTCTGACGTAGACTTGAGACAGAGCCGGATCAGTTTAAGTTATTCAGTGTTTTGCTTCGCATTCAACCTGTCTATCGGTGTGTTGTATCTACTATCGTTAGTGAATTTGTTATTATTGAAGAATTTTGGAGTTTTAGTTGGATTGGACGGTTTATGATAGTCATAGTGTATCCTGTTCAATTCATATCATATATATTTGATTCGACATTCATTGACTGATTTTTGAACTGTGTTGTGATTTCAAAGTGTTTCAAAATGGCATATTGCATGGTCATTTGGTGCAAAAATAAAGGACGTATCCCAGGAATATCTTACTTCAGGTAAATTTATATCGTCAACAAGCGATTTGTGCTATTTTATATTTATCGATGCCATGATTCTATTACCAAAACTGAAATATCTGCAAGAAGATATACCTACAGATCTTCAAAATGAATGATATTAATTCAAATTTCAGGCTAACTAAGAGTCGTCACGTTGCTTGGATGACTGCTCTGGGGCGAGATGCCACTGTTGAGAAGTTGAGTTCCAGCAATAGAGTGTGCAGTGAGCATTTCAATGAAGCAGATAAAATTCATACTAATAATACTATTCGATTGAAATCGAATGCTGTTCCTACTTTGTTTCTGAAAAGGCAACGTGAAGGTGTGATTGGGAATCAAAGATATCTGAACAGGTAATTTGACTTCTGCTTCTGAAACAATATAAATATCGAATTTTCAGAATTCTTATTCAATGATAGTAAAATGAGTGTGTGTTAGGGTCATGAGAGTAAGTATTTGGAGAGAAATGAGTTGATAAACAGATATTATCGAAATGCCAATTTTATCCTAGTAGACATTAAATGAAATGATTTTGTTCATCCAGATTCAAATTTTTAATTGAATTTTGATATAATTACTTTAGAATCAATTCGATTACGGTATGCTGATTTAAATATATCTGGTGAAAAATGTCAAATAGTTTTGGAATATTTCAACATAAAATAAACTAGGTACCTATATACACCAATTTTAAGGCAACCAGATCCTGCACCCAGTACATCAAACGAGCCACTGGGAGTAATTGAAGAAGAAGAATGTATAGGAGAACTGTCACCTTCCAGAAGTAAAAGTTATTTTGTGGAGAATAAGGAGAATTATCCAATACCAGTGTCAACCACTCCTGTGATTGAAATATATGCTATGAAGAGGTAATTGAAGTTAGTTTTATACAATATAGACCTTAGAGTTTGAAATACTTATTTTAATTACAGTAGTAGTTCAGAAAGTAGTATCACAATGAAATCTGTCACTGATTCACCAGTTCTTCAACGGTTCAAGAGGAAACTGGAAACATCATCATCTGATAGAAGTTCATCCACAGGAATTACGAAAAAAATGAAGAAAGACATTAAAACAATGCACAACTACAGGCAAGTAATATTGTATTTGATCAGGTAAATCATTAGTTAAACATGTTATAAAAGAAGCCAGCTACCCACCTACCATGAGAATTTTCTTGGGTGCTAAATGTTCTTGGATTTACTAAAAAATACCATAATAGTTCCAAAAAGTGATTTATCAATGAACTAGTATGAATAATAGCATAATGTTTTCAAAGAAACACGTCTTACCCGTATCTGGGTAATAATTATTATATTACTGAAAAATTTTCAATACCCGCTTCATTCCCAGTATTCATTAATATTTGTATTACAGCTCATCTCAGAAAAAAATTCTACAGGAATTGAAGGAATATCGAGCAAAATATACAATGGTACAGAAGAAACTGAGAGCTCACAAATTGAAAACAAGAAGGCTTTCCAAAAAAGTATCCAATATGAAACAGATCATATTTGATTTGAAAAGAAGGAAAATTGTTTCAGAAAATGCATTGGATGTATTGGAAAAATCGTGTTCGAAAGTGTCTGTCAGCATAATGAGGAGAGCACTTAAAAATGCTGAAACTATCAATAAGGGTAAAAAACTTCCAAGAGATGCAATACCTGAAGACATTCGCAAATTTGCCCTAACTTTGCAATTCTACTCTACAAAAGCCTATACTTAT